TCGTTGTATTTCTAAAGAGCTTAGCATAGTTTCGGAGATAAAATCAAAATAAAAACAAATAACAAACCTTATTTTTTAATATACCTTTTAAATTCTGATTCCAATGTCTGATTTGGGCATATAATCAATACTTAATTCCGAAAAGCGGTAAATCCACAGCATAAAAATTGATGCGGATTTTATCGCTATTCTTTTCACTGGGGACTGTATATGCTTAATAAGAGTATTAAAATAACTTTTTGAAAGAAGATATGACGTTTTATATCAGCTAACTTAAGCCTTTATCTGATTTAAATTGATAAGCATAGGTTAAACGTTGATCAATATAATACCTTCCCAATGATTATTATTTTTTGATCAGCAATCAATAGATAAAAATCAGTAGATACTAAAGATAATAGCTGTAATTAAATTACATAAGTTATAACTTTATTAAATTTATTAAAGTTGTAACTTAATTTAAATAATAAGTTAAGTTGCAATTATAATTTAAGTTGCAACTATTATAATAGTTGCAATCTAAATTATAATTGCAATTTATTTTATTATTTAAATTATAATTAATTGCAACTAATTGCAAGTTATTAAGTTATTATATAAGTTTAAATAATTATAACTTTAATTTAAAGTTACAATTATAATTTAAATTGCAACTTTTATAATAATTGCAACTTAAATTTTAGTTGCAACTTAATTTACTATATAAATTATAATTGGTTACAACTGGTTGTAACTATTTATATAAGTTTTAGTTAATTTCAACTTATTATAATATGATTATATTATTTATGATAGTTGCCACTTAATTATCATTACAATTAAGGTTGCTGGACGAAATCAAGAGTTTATACAAACATCTAAATAATAAAAGTAAAACTTGGTTAAATTATATTAAAACCTTATTAAAAAATCTGCGAAATTTAGAAAAAGGTAAAACTATATTAAAGCTTATAAAATTGGCGAAACTATATCAAACACTTAGTAAAAATTTAGCAAAACTAAAGGTTTAACTGTTTTGCCAAATCCAAAATGAGTTTAGACAAACAACCTTAATTACAATAATAATTCAAATTATAATTATAACTGGTTATTACTAATTCGCAATTAATTATATATTTTATTTTTGATTATTTATTTTATTTTATTTTATTAAAAATATTTTACATCTTTTTTATTTTTAATAAATTTTTGCTTTAATTATATTCATTTTTACCTTTTATTTTTTTTTAAAATAAAATGAGTAAAGAATCTTTATCATTTTAAAATTTTAATGATACAGATATTATAATTTCAAATTACTTACTATACTAAATCATTTAATGAAACTAAAAATTACAAAAAATAAAAAAAAGGAGGATGAAAATTTACAGTAATTTAAAAATATATTAAATGTAAAAAAATAAGTTCTGGTAATTATAAAGGAACTTTTAATTATTATGATAAATTTTAGGTTATAGTAAAATCTTTAAAATTAAAATTATATTTAGCAAATGATTGTTTAAAATATTCAAAAGAAATAACACAAATTTTTATAAATAAACTAGCAAAAATGAGATACAAGGTAATGAAAATAAATTATTAATTTTGAAAGAATTACAATTAGTGATTCAAAAATCCAAGAAATTAATAAGGTTTTATTAAAAGTATTTATATATTATAATATAGCATTTAATATTATCAAAAATCCTTTTTTTATTAAATTTTATGTGCTGGTTATATTCTACTATTAAAAAGAAAATTAGTTATAAAACTATTAGAAAGGAAGGTAATTCAGATAAATTTAAAATTGAAAAGTTTTAAAAAATACAATAAATTTAACATTAGTAATTGATGAATAGATATTACCAAATGGATGATCTTTTTAGAATTTTATAATATTTTGACTACAACTTGACAAGAATATTTATATAAAATAAAAGATTTATCTAATGAAGATATATAATAACTTATTTAGCAGAAGAAAAACTTAAAGTAATGAATATAATTGGAATTAAAAAGTTTCTGCAATTATTACTAATAATAGAACAAATGTAATTGTAATATGAAATTCGATTACCAATCAATTTTCAAAAAGTTTAATGTTAAATGCAATTTGTATTGATTAATTTAATATCACATGACTTTTTAAAACATAATTTTGATTATATAATAATTAAATATTGTAATATCATTGTTAAATATTTTAAAAAATCACACATTGGTAATGATTAATCAACTAATTTATTACAAAATACCAAGTAATTGTAGGAAGGTTGAAAACATTTGTAAAACAAGGTGGATATCAATTGCTGAATACACAAATTCAATATAATGTTTAAAAAAATATCTTATTGAAATAAGTAATAAATTTATATTTAATTGATTTTTTATTTTTTGTTTTTAATTTTTATTTAATCATATTTCTTTATTTCATTGCATTTTTCAGATATAGAATTATATGCAAAATTTTGTAACACAATACACTAAGACTGATATGTATAAATTGATGACCCTCTCCCTAAATATTTATGGGTACAGTAGACGTAAAATTCAATCATATGATTCTTTTTCAAGATCTTATTGTAAGAAGTGTGATAAGATTTTAATTACATAGTAGAAATAAAATCAGGTACCTTTACGATTTGGATATAAAGCATTAATGTCTGTAGATCCATGTAAAAAAATCTTTATTAATTACGAATGCAGGTTACGCAGAATATATGCTATATATATTTCATAATCATTATTATAAGCGAATTGTACTATAAATCAAATTTAAATCTGAAAGGACACGTCATACTTGATCAAAATACAAAATAAAAAGCCAGATCAATGTTGTTTTTTTTTCGAATTCTTTTTCTTCTTTGCAATATCAATCGTTTTTGTAGCAGGTTTGTCAAAGGTTATTTCATTTGGTAAATCTAGGAGAAAAGAAATTAATTATAAAAATTAAGACAAAAAAAGGAATTAAAAATATCTTGACATACCATCCATAGCGTCCTCAAATTCTGTAACAGTTCCATCGTACTCTAAACCCCATATTAAACGTCTAGTCGGAGATTCCTTTGACGCCACACTCAAATAATTTCCAAGCGACCATAAAACATTACACATCGAGTCCCATTCGAACACACGACCGAAGCAATCTAGAAAAAGAATTCCAGCGTAACATTCGCCGATGAAAATGATATGATCAAAACCATATCATTTAACAATTTCCATATAACATATACAAGTCGAAGGAACCCCACGTCCATCACGGTTAAAATGATTTGCAACACGTTTACGATCTTTTTTATTTGCGATCATTTCGACTAACATAAGCGGATTTTTCAGACTCGGAATGTTGCGATCTTCTTGAGATTCATCCTGCTTTTCACCATTCGGCACAAGGGACACTGTTTCCGGAATTCTTGCTTCGTTAGGTTGAACGTTTGGGATCACAAGACGACACGGTGACTTCGGTTTCTCCTTTGTCCATGCATTGCCAGCTAAGGCACTGATTCGGCGCAGTTGCTCCAAGAATAGTTGCATTGAATTGATTCTCTCTTGGTTTGGGCAACATTCAAATTGCACCTTTGTAATATCGATATAATTCTGACCCTCGACATTGCTATTAATTGGTTGTTTTTGTACGGCATATTTTTCGTTATTGTTCTTGATTGTATCCCACTGCGAACTGATGCCCCGAACATAAATTTCATGACCTTCCTTTCTTTCGTTGATGCTGTTACATTTACTGTTGTTGGGCTAAGCATTTTCGGTTCCATCATCATAGTTTAGTTTGCCAAGATAATTAGCATTCTGGAAAAATATTTTTTCTGGTCTTGAAGCTCCATTTCCTTGTAAGACTCCTTTCTCATTATATATATTGTCCAAAGGAGGGCTACAGCGTCCCATATGGTTCTTATTGTAATTGGTGGCTCTATTAGCTTCCCTTCGAGGCCAAACAGAGTATATATCGGGACCGGATCCTTTTCCATCTCCTGACCTGGATTCTCCTTCTTTTTTGGATACCTACATAAATATTTTTCGTTAGCTAACTATTTCGAAATATTGAAAAGAATAAAACACCTGAAAGGTGCTATTAACTCTCTTATCAACTGTCTCGTCCATTTTCTTGTTTTGTGTTGTCTAGCCAAGACCAAGCGTGTAAACTTGAAAAGAAGTACAAAACGTGGTAAGATGTGTAACTGTACTGGTTTCAAACCTACTTTGTTATCCATTAAAGTCTATTACTGACTCAGTACTGACTCATCTCATTGACTTATACAAGTTCGGGTGTTAGTCAACCTTGGTAAGGAGCACCAAATCTAATTTGTTCCTATATTTATTCGTATGGGCATCAGATTTACCATATTTAATTCTTTTAATTGGTCTGATTAACTATTGGGGTATTGCAAGTCAAGTGCAGCTGAGCATCACCTACTATTTAGTAAAGCTTTCTGTGATTGGTGAAATTTGTTGCTGATCTTTACCAAAATTATAAAATCCCGTTATTTATTTTTACAAAGCAATGCGAGCTTTTAAAAAATGTCTCTCTTACCAAATCGTGAACCTTGTACAATACATAATTGCAATAAAAATGAAGTTGAAGCCAAATTTCGCGGTTTTATTAAGCTTGCAAAAAGAACATTTTAATATATTTAATTATTTAAAAGTTGGTGGATCAACTTTGTCAAATGCTTTACTATAATATTGTTGAACCAAACCGAATCAAATATACCACTTTACCTTTGAACAACTTACCGATTCCTTATTCAAGTATAAATACTTATTTTGTTGAGAAAATAGTAATCAAAATAATAAAGGTAATTATAATATTATATTTTTATAAATTAGAATTTCTTTAAATAGTATAGTATTTTCCAGATGTATTAATTTATAGATTTTAACTTTTGAGAACAATTAAAGCTTTTTAACCAAAGTTCATTATGATATGCAAAAAAAGCAAAATCTTCCTTTAGAATTAGATCTAGATAGTTTTCGTGCTTTGATTGAAAATCAAGAATCGCATTTAAAGAATTTGCAGATGCATCAAGTCCTAAAAGAAGATCAAAAAAATCATTTGATAATGGAAAGAAGACTACTGTATGATTTACTTATCTACTTGCTAGATTGGGTAATGAATTTGTTAATAATTTAAAATTTAAAATTATTCTTTTTTTAAAGCATGTTAAACTTCAAAAGAAGGCATTAAAACTTTATCCTCAATGGGTCTTAGTGTATGTACTAAAACAGTCAGTTGATAAATACAAGTAAAATGATCCCCACATAATTTTTCCTAGCGTAACTACCAAAAAATTAGGGTTCCTCAAAATCGAATCGAATCAAATATTTAAGCAATTTGAATTTGATTTGATTTTTTCAAATCGAA